CCATGTTTTTACGAGGTTAAATTACAATTTTTGTCAATGGAGTCTGGCTTTGAAGAGAGTGTAGCTAAGTTTCACTTTTAGTCCAGTTTTAAAAGGATGGTTTTAGTGAAAATGCATGTGAATGCTCAGTTGCAATGAGCATACAGCTGGATAATGACACATTCAACTGCACAAGTTGAGTGCGATTTTGTAAATAAATGTTTTGATATAGTCTTGGTGTTGTTAAATGCAGATCTTTTACTTCAGTTCATCAAGAATTTTCTTTCGTTTGTGGATTCTTTGTTCACCAGAGGCATGCAAGAAAAATAAAGTTACCTTCATGAATTCAGCGTAACACAGGGTGAGTAATTGATATACAAACGGTCACTGTGGGGGTGAAGTGTTCCTTTAAAGTCAGCAGTGTTTGTTAGTCCTCCTTGTTGCTCTATCATCATGTTAGTGGTGGATGTGTCATAACTCAAGCAGAGTCAACTAAACATTACCAGGTGCCCACTCCCATGCAGAGTCAACCATGCATGGGAGCACACAGTGGCAGAGGGTAGAGATAAAATCTTTTGTTTTACAGGGAACTCGCCATAATTAACCCTGGGAGGACTCAGCGTCAGTCTGGGAACAGTAAGCCTGTACTACAGGAGCCGATGGTTCCCAGTAACTGTTTTAGCAGAGCAGGGGGTGGGACAGTTATACAGACATGGAAAGCATGGTGATTAGCTAGCGGATACAAGCTTAAGTTGTAGAAATCGTCTGAATCTAGAAGGTTATTAGGGCTCTGGCTGGAAATGATGTCATCCCTACAGGGTTGGTCAACCCAAACTATAGTGTTACAGGCTGTAGACAGACCACCCTGACTGAGGGATTGACAGTTTAGGCTACTGCTAATTTATATACAAACTTCACAATGAAAGAACATAAGGGTAATATGGTCAGCGAAGCGCATACATTACTGGCCGAAATATGGGCCTTTAAAACACGCACAATACCAATTGTGGCAATTCCATTTGCATCATGTGAAAACCAATGTATGACATCTTGAGAGGGAAAATCTACAAAGACGAGAGGATTTCACATTACATACACTTGGTCCAAGAAATACTACGGTGAAATATCGGCATGATAATATTCTATTTATTTTGGAGAGCTGAGGTTTTTGTGGCTAAATAATCAAGCAGACATCTCAATTTTCCAACTAATGTGCTGTGATCTAATGACAAGCCGCAGCAAGAGAGGTTGAGGGAAGAGTAATCCCATAAAGCTATTAGAAATATCATATTCAAATGCAAATACCATGATTATGATTAATAGTAATTATGATTAACTGCAGTCATTAGATGAAGATCTTTCTGAGCATACACATTAAAACAACATTTTATGTGTATTTTGGGGCACTGGTGATGAATGCAAGACTCCTTACATTTCATAATTTATGTGTGTGTAGAAGAGCTGTAATCCAACTATGCAATAACACAGGCAGATTTACTTTAGGATAAATACCTTTCTGCAAATAAAGATTTGACTCTTAACAGTAAGTGTTATTAAACTGTTGGAAGCAGACACAAATCTGGAGTGGAAACCAGCTCAATTTATTTTTGCTAATTTTCCCCCCATTTTATATCAATTTGGAATGCAAATTCCCAAAGTGCACTGGAGAGGGTGTAGACACCAGTGTGCTTCCCTTAGTGTTGCCAGCCGCCTCTTTTAACCTATACTGTTTCATTTTTAAGCCATCCCCTTCAGTTACACTCTACATGTGCACGCACCCCAACCAATCAGTCACAGTGAGGTAAAAAGGGTGACAACTCTCGCTGTCTTTAATTTACACAAACAAGCCTGGGAGTCAAACCTGAGTCTCTCTGGTAGTGAACAGGAGCTTTATTCCTGCACCACTGTGAATCCAGCAGTACACTTTGTTTTGCACTATACATTACAGCAGCAGTAAGAGAGATCTGAACACGTATAGCAAATCAGTGCTTCACTGAGAGTAGTTGAAGCTGTTCTGGAGACAATGTGGTGTCACACTGCAGCCTGACTCTTACTGAGCATAGCACAATGATAAACAAAAGACTAGCAGATACCACTTTGAGACTGCCTTACCAAAAATGCAATGACAGTATTGGCACTGAAATCCTATCTATGTAAATATACAGCATCTCTGCTTTACATCTTAAACTTACCGTATAATGCATCCAGTATAATAGTTGGGGATTTTAGCATTACCTTAGACATGCAACGTAAAATTGGTCACTTCTAGTACTAGTCACATGTATATCTAAACCGTACTAATCCCCTTTAAACAGATATCTGCATATGAATGCAGAGTCTGTAAGATAATGGACAAGATTGGTATTAGAAGTGCTCTGGTTGCTATTTATTTTCTGAGTAGTATTGAGCCATCACAATTGAGCAGCAGGTAAACAGATCATGTGGAGAGAAAAAGATCCAGAACAAATTGGCCAAAATTCTCCTTACCCACTGGCTGTAATCAGATGGCGATTTAGCTTTTTATTAGCTTTTGAAAAAAATTAATCTGCAATTAGGAGATATCTGTTTATAGAGATTAGCCAAAATCACCAGTGCACAGAAGAGGAAGTCTTGGCCCGCTCAAGATCCAAATATCCACTGTTGCCCCCACGGGCTACATCATAATCTGACCAACGACTGATGGATTCCAAGATTGAATCCTTATAGACTTGTTCTTTGGAATATTACAACCTTTCACTTATATGAGGCATTCTACTGAATGTGTGCAAAGTTAGGCTGGAAATATTTTGAAATTTTGTATGTTTTATTTCCAAAACTTTGTCCCTATATATATTGTACCATATGTAAAGGTCACATATCTAGTAAAATGACTGTAAATTTTTATATTGTATTTTCAGAATGTTTTGGAATGTTTTTCCTCTCCCATAATTTGTCACTACCGAAACATATAGTATTATATTACACAAAAAATATATATATCAACCTGTTATGCTTGTTCCTTCCCTTGTTTAAGTTCAAATTATAGAATTCTTCAAAATCTAAATGCAGTCTTTCTTTGTAAAATGCATAACGCTTTCAGAGTTAATAATTGATGAAACAGAACATAAATGTAACCGATTAGCATCCTAATACTTTAGTTGATAACTCAATATACTTTATTTTTTACAAAACACCCAGTGTTTCAGTAGTGACTGCACTGTTTCGGTAGTGACTGTCCTGTTTCGGTAGTGACCATTATTCTGTTTTTAAGGTTGCATCATATTTCCTCAAATGTATGCCTTATGGTGGAAATTACAAATTCAAAGACAAATGTTTTGTGGTCAATAAAACAATTCAATTTTTGAGAGGGCAGAGCAGAGTAGAGCAGAGTAGAGCAAAGTAGAGCAGAATAGAGTAGAGCAGAGTATAGTAGAGCAGAGCAGAGTAGAGTAGAGCAGAGCATAGTGGAGTAGAGCAGAGTAGAGTAGAGAAGAGTATAGAAGGGCAAAGTAGAGCAGAGTAGAACAGAGCAGAGTAGAGCAGAGTATAGAAGGGCAGAGTATAGTAGAGTAGAGCAAAGCAGAGCAGAATAGAGTAGAGTAGAGCATAGTAGAGTAGAGTAGAGCAGAGTATAGAATGGAGCAGAGTATAGCAAAGCAGAGCAGAACAGAATAGAGTAGAGCAGAGTAGAGTATAGAATAGAGCAGAGTATAGTAGAGCAGAGCAGAGCAGAATAGAGTAGACCAGAGTAGAGCAGAGCAGAATAGAGTAGAGCATAGCAGAGTAGAGTAGAGTATAGAATAGAGCAGAGTATAGTAGAGTAGAGCAGAGCAGAGCAGAATAGAGTAGAGCATAGTAGAGTAGAGTATAGAATAGAGCAGAGTATAGTAGAGTAGAGCAGAGCAGATTATAGAATAGAGCAGAGTGTAGTAGAGTAGAACAGAGCAGATTAGTGCAAAGTAGGGCAGAGTAGAACAGAACAGAGCAGAGTAGAGCAGAGTATAGTATAGTAGAGCAGAATAGAACAGAACAGAACAGAACAGAGCAGAGTATAGTAGAGTAGAGCAAAGCAGAGCAGAGTAGGACAGAGCAGAGTAGAGGAGAGAAGAGTATAGAGTAAAGCAGAGTAGAGTAGACCAGGGTAGAGTAGAGGAGAGCAGAGCAGAGCAGAGAAGAGCAAGACTTTGGACCACAAAATTATAGGGTTTAACTACTGACCATTCCATTGTGTCACTACTGAAATGATCATGTCACTACCGAAACTTTACCATAGGTTTCGGTAGTGACATTCCTAGCTATTTTTCAGGATAACTAAAGAATGCTAGCAGTCACATGGCTAACAAGCACATGTTTGAAGAGTTGTTCACACAGAAAAACAAACAAACAAACAAATATTTTGCATAAACCCCCCAAATTTTTACATAATTGAAGAGAACATGTGTTCGGTAGTGACAACTTTAAAAGTTACACACTGATTTTCAGACTCAGAAATTCAAGGGTGTGGCTAAAATCCAGACTCAACCAGAGCATTAAAACTCTTGTGTTTCGGTAGTGACTTGAAAACAAGGGACACTACTTTTTTAGCATAGTTTCTTAATTTAAAAATTAATCCCACAATACATCTAAATCTTTCAACTTCTGTTTAAACTTAATCACAAAGATGTTTTAAATTAGACTTTTGAAAAAAATATGAAAAATGTTTTAAGTGTTATTTACATCAATTGAATTTTAGAGGTCAGGGTTGGGGACAGCTACTTCCCAATAGAAAGTACCCCATAAATGGTGATTTTGTATATATTTAGCATATCACTTTCTCATTTAATGTCCTGGGTTTAAATAGGCCATAACATCATCTTTGTAAATATCTATGTCTGAATACTCAATTTTATTATTTTTGTTGTTTTTTTGGTAAGGGACAGCACTTTGCACAAAATCGGTACAATGCCCCATATAACAGAAGGAATGTCATTTCTGTGGCAGAAATTTCATGTTTTATAGCTTGATGATCAATAGCCTGATGGCTGTACCACATCAAAGGATACTGATCTCATTATCACGTTGCGTCATCATCTCCTTTAATCTGGTCACTTCTGCTGCACAGTGGTGGCAGTCTTGAATTACAGCTTCCCTCACTGTTGCTGCTGATGACGCCCGCCCATCACTCTGCCTATTTTCTCCACCTTGCTTGTCCATGATCATTATCTGTACAATAAACAGAAAGGAAAGATTGTTGACCTCTAATAGAAGTTCAGAGAATGGCCTACTACACTTGGGTTTGCTTTCGAGAAAAACATATTCAATATAAAGAACCATCTAATGCCATGAATGTAAACAAGTTGGAAATTGTGGTCTCATCCTGGAAAGTGGTGCTCTTCTAAATTCCCTTATATTCCCTAAACATTAATTAAATTCCCCTCTTTTCCCTGTCTGCAATATAACTCTAACATTTCAATGATACTCCAGGTTTAAAGACAGGTGGGAAACATGTTAAAGGATTGCAGTTTTTTCCACATGGAGAAGAAGACACAGAAGAAGAGAAAGGCACAGAGGAGGGATAAGGGTGATCCCGGGAAATTTTGAGGACATACACTGTTTGGAAGCACACTGAAGAAGATAGCAGAGTTTGGGCTGAGGATGCCACCACTGCAGTGTGACATCATACATTCAGCTGTATATCATTGTGGTCAAACTGCACGTCTAAGTGCACAGTGCTGAAAAGATAAAACTGCAGATATGCATGGTGCTTGAACTTCATCCTAAACCAAGGATAAGCAGAGTGTTGAGCATGAAAGAGCTAGCCACTGACGAGAACAAAGAGGACAGAAATCAAATTCAAACCATATCCAAATTCCTACAGAATCACTGAAGTGTGACTCGGGTGATGCTCAGAGGAATGTAAACTGAACTGAGATAGAGTTTGCGGATCATAACAAACTGAAGAAGAGATAAACAGACATTCAAGTGGGATCTGGAACTGCTTCTGGTGGCTGCTCCAACTCCAACCAAACCAGAGTGCAAGAACAGTGTGAGCACCGCAGTGTTTTCCCTATGCTCATTTAGCAGCAGTGGGCCATAGGCTGCTGTTTGAGAAATGTTGAACAAAGTCTATAACTGATCTGACTTTCTCCAAAACCAAAACTTTAAGAATTTGTGTTTTCTACAAACATTTGGCAACCAACATATAATTACAAACCTTTTCCACGGCAGTCTGCATGATAAATTGTCAGTGAATTGGGCATCGAGCCAAACCCAAAATGATGCCCAGATTCTACTTTTATAAAAAATACAAAGGAAGTAATCTGCTCTTGAGGGACTGTCACAAAGATGAGGATGGAGGTGGATTGGGTGCAATACAAGAATCTGTTTGCTGGAAGACTATCTGTGGACATGGAATGTCACATGGGACAGTGAATGGACACTCCGCATTGTTGTGGTAGTCTCACAGAAAGAATGTTAAACATGTCGTGCTTGTACAAATTTTACTTGTCATGGACTCTTTACTTAGTTATCTATTTTATTTTATTACTCTTACTAGATATTTAATTAGTAACCCATGAGATTAGTTATCTTAATTTTGCATTATTTTTTAGTGGGTGTCATGTTTCTGAGATGAATGTTTTTTAATTTTGGTTTGTTAAAAAATAAAAATTCAATAAAATATGAGAAAAACAAACAAACAAAGGAAACACAATTATGACATTAATTGAAACAAGTTTGAGTATCAGCTTCCAAATAACACAGTTGCATGTTAGCTTGCTTGCTTGTAAGTTGATTATACTATTTATGAATTACTGGTGGTTAATTTTCTGTTGATCGAATAATCCATTTGCTGAAATATTTCAGCTCTCATTTATATAACCATTTTATGGGAGACACACTGCACTGACAAATACAACAGGAAAAGGAGCTCAGACCAGTGTGTTGTTTGTAGATATGTCTCGGCTAAGTCTTTTAGCTGCTGTGCAAATTCTTAAGAAGTTCTGGTTTGAACACATGCATGTCACATAACATCTTGCCTCTAATTAGATGGCAAATAACTGCAAAACACCAAGTGTCTAGACTTACAACAGGCTGTGGGAAAATCAGCAGCACTGGAAATAACTGGGCATCACTGGATTTTAAATTATTTTCACTTTCTAGCAATAGCCTCAAGAATTAGGCACACAATATACAGTTAGGTTATGGTTTGGCCTGTGGATAAGATCATTTTTCTCATCAGTCTTTTCTGTGAAAAAAAGTGATAAAATTCTATCTATGATATTGATGATGATACAGTAACCATCTACATAGCTTTTAGGTCATTCAAATGTAAAGCATTTCCTGGCAGAGGACAGTAGAGGGAGCTGTTTAATGGAGGTTATTGGTCAGCTGGTCACTACTGAGTTGATAGAGGGAAATGTGCAGAGTTTTGTTCTGACACCTCACTGATGTGTTCTATATTTTTGTCTTCCAGCCTTTCACTCTTACAGAGAGGATAAAGCACTAGCACATGAAACAAATAAGAGAAAGTGGTAAATAAATTTCTTCAACAGCCACAGAATACTTAATTTTGAAATTTTAACACAGCTTATCATTCTCCCTTGTGGTCATCTTTGGGTTTTTCAAGCCACTTTCTTGGTTCACATGACTGACAGAATGTGCTCTGATAGGCCAGAAGTCGGCTTGATTGCATTCAGGCTCGACTGCTGATACATGTCATGTTCCTAGGTTTTGTGTATAGTTTGTTTCCTGTTTAACTCTGAAGGTCACTCCTCATGTGTCATGTCTTGTCTTACTTCTTGCCTTTGCCTGTTTTCATACATTCCTGCATTGTATCAGTTTTGTTAGTCCTTCCCTGTTCCAGAGTGTTCCACCCTAATGTTCCCTACCACACCCTCGTTGTCTTCATCGTCAGCCATTCCTCGTGTTTCCCTCCTTTTGCCTGTGCCCACCTTCTCCAGCTTTGTCTTGTTCTTGTATTTAGTCCTCTGTGTACCTGTGACTTTCCCTTTGTCCTTTGTCAGTTTGTCTGTGGTCATGCATGGTGCCATTCCCTGGTTTGTTTTTCAGTCTTTTGTGTACCTTGTTGGATTGCTTCCCCATGATCACAATGCCATCCTGGCTTGTTTTCAGTTTAGTTTTGGTTCCTCTTTCTTTTGGACTTTGAGTTACGCCTGCCTGTATCTTCAGTTTGGAGGTGTTTTACCAGCTGCATTAAAGCCTGCCTTTTGTTTAAACCACCTGCCTGCCTACCGCTATCCTCTATTTAACTGAACCTTGACAATGCAGTACTAGGTACCCGGATGTTCCTATCTGAAATTTTTTGACATGTAGCTTTCGATCTGAATTTGACTGATTCAAAGTCATTCAAGCTTTTGAAATTACAAATCAAGAAATGTCATTCTTATTTCAGAACGAATACATTTAATTACATGATTTTCAAACTCAGATATTTCAATGCTACGAGCTCAGTGGTGTTTAAGTTTTAACATGTTAAAATTCAAGTGCTTCCGTCCCTTTTTTGCTTCCATACTAACATCGACCAACTGAAACATCCATTTCAATGAACCAGTATAGCAACCTGTACTGAAAATATCTTCTGCTGCCACGCTACCATGGTAATGGCCCATGGATCTTGTCATGGACAGGAGAGGAAATAACAAAAATAACAACAGGACACAATGGATGGATGGAAAGAACAGACAGTGAAGGTTATACAGGGAGACTTGCATGCAGATACTGTACATGGAAAGACTACGGGAAATATATTACCTTCAGCAGAAAGAAACAGTACTGGATTTTTCTCATGTCTGGTCCCAATGACAGTGTCACGTCTGGATCAGGGTCGCCCAGAAAGGCCTTAACTAACTCTTCCAATCTAAACACACAGACACACACACAGAGAAAATTTCCAATAACCTACCAAAGCTTAAACTCATGCCACATTCCATGTCACAGTCCTTCTCAATCACACTTAGCACAAGCTCAACAGGCACTCAAACAGTTAATATTTATATATGAGAAGTGCTTCTTATGTTTAAAATGTGGGTCTGGTCAAAGAAAACTATTTACTTAAACGCGTGTTCCAGCTCCACTGGGCCGGCCTGTTGATAAACTATCACTGGATGATAGTCCAAACATTGGTTCTTCAACCTCTGGAACCGGCCACTGGAAAAGACCAACAGGCAACTGTCCAGACGGATCCAATGTAGGCACGACAACGTGCGGTTTTCATTTTTCCACTGCAACATGTTCAGTGTAGAAACATGCTAGGTTTACATGACGAAGGACTTAAAACAAACGTAGCGGTCTTCTTTCAGGGCACTGCACAAAGTTGGACTCTGGAGAATGCCCTTCAGTGCCATGCACAATATTTTGTGAGAGAAAAACCATCATCTTTCAAACACTAGAATTTGATTGTTTCCAGATATTCTTTCCAAGGTGTGAGGTGATGTGTTATGTAGGAATTTGTGCAAACTAATATTGTATTTAGAAAATAAATTTAAATTGACTTCAGTATGGGAATGGACTGATACTGAATCTTAATAAGCACAGACGGCAGAAAAATATTCTTTTGGAAAGGTTAAGATCTGTACGCCTGAGAATATATGAGCGTTTTGAAATGTGACAGCTAATAAGCAAAGATATGTGCAATCACTCAGCGCTGGGGATGATTCAAGGCATAAACCGGAGAGGAAACAGCAACAGAAAAAGTCAGCATGTCCAGTGAGTGTGGTCACAACAGACATCATTAAAGGTTCCCTGTGTGAGTTTGACCACAAACAGGGGGAAATCGAGGATAATCACCCGGGTAGAGGAAATAATAAAAAGGCGGACTGAGGGGACTTAGGCACGGTTAATAGATCAGCACTGCAGAGGTGATGTGCCAAGTCCTCGATGGAACCTCTGGCCTGAACTCTGGCCCTGACTGGCTGAGTCCCTCTGTCATTTGAGTATAAGAGCAGAAATAAAGCAGTCCTGGCTGAAGCAGAGCCCTGGGAAACTCCATTAGATCTGGTTAAGCCTCAGTGAGTGAGGTTTTAACTCAGTATCTATGCATAGCCAACAGCATAAGTTATGTAGGCACTTCAGGCAAACCCCAAATACTTATAAATCACAAAACATATTTGCTCAAGAATCTCGGGGTTTTGAGTATTACAAATACAAATCACAGTCCAAAAAAAGACCATCTGCTCTCTTCCAAGAGGGCTGACAGGGCCAACACATCACTATTCACATCTGCACTGTCCTGAAATGACTGGATCGCAAAGGTCACAACATTATGCACACACAAACACACTCATATTGTACAACCTATGATCCTGTGGCAAAGGGCCTCCTGTGAGCTCCTCTAGAACATTGTTATTTAACCTCTTCCACCCCACTAGGACGCCTGCATCCTTGACCATCATTACTGCCTGTCAGGCTGTAGCAGAGTGAGTTTTGGAGTGAAGATACTGGTATCACATGAAATAAGAAGACCTAAGGAATCTACTGGTGCCAACAATATCATGCTAGCTTGTCAGAAAGGGGGCCAAATAACGCTCCGAAGTTAGGATAAATTTCAGCGAGGGAAAAACTGGCATGGATATTTTCACAGGGGTCGTTTGACCTCTCACCTCAAGGCATCTGAATGGGTTCTATTGGAAGTGCAGAAACAATCTCCCCACAAGTCTCCTCTTAACAGATATGCCCACTTTGCGCTAGACCCATGCAGCTCTTGGCAAAAAGCAAGCAACATTTTGCATGCAGTACAAATTTTCCTCTACAGACTTTAATTTCTCCATACTGGGGGCCCTAAACAGTATTGGAGTTGCATGAATTGTGTATGACTGGAAAATTGAGACTCTTGTGGATTCAATAAGCCAAATTTTATTCACGTGTGATGATGTTAGCCTTCACAGTAGCCATTTCACTGTAGTGAGACAGTCTTTTTTAAAATGGATATTACTGTAATGGCCTATTGAGACCTCTTGGATAATAACAGCCTCATGAAACTCCACAGCCACAAACTAGAGACCCCATGTATTCAGGGGATGGATGGCTTTTATAGGTATTTTGACAATTAGGGGGTTTCTGAAGAAATTCCAGAACAGAAGTGCTCACCATCCAACGTTTTTAACTCCAAATCACAGCATGGATTTCTCTCTGGTGTTCCTCAAGGTCTTAGTGTCTTAATGTGATATTTTGGAGTGATTTTTGCACATTTTTTATCAATTCTCAGACGGTTAAAAACTGCTTAAATTTAGCACCAAATCTGTGTAACCAATGGTATCAATCCAAAAATTGCTGCAACAACTTATAAGACATATTTGAACATGGAGATGACCATCATGTACTTCCATCATACGTTTCTAAACCCCTACACACTCTAAATTAGGGATGCCAGTAGGGATGCATGTTGCTTCGACAGCCTGACACCCATTAACTGGTAAGTTACTAGTTATTTTTTAGGAATAAAAAAAAAGTGAACTACAAGAGGCCTTTCTTGTAGTGCAACACTCCATTGACTCAGTGTGAGTTTTGGTGCTATATTTCAAAGCGTTACACATTTAGAGGTGGTGAAATTTGAATGATTTGTAATGTAAATGTCTTGCCTTTATGTTATTTTCTGTCGGCCTTGCTGACAGACAGCCGGCTGACTGCATTAACATGGGGAAACATAGTGCCAACTGCCCACCCTCTGGTCTCCACTGGTAAGCTAACATTAGCCTTGGGAACTAGCTGGCGGCGTTGCTCAATCGGTAATTACTGCTAGGTCACTGAGGTTGACCATGGTGTAGACACAATGCGTCCACAGTAATGCTGTTAGGTTAGGATGGCGTTACAAGCGGTAATTGCCAAATGTGCAACGCTGCTAGCTAGCTCTAAACAGACTTGGGTCTGTAGTCAAAAACATTTTTGGCACTTTAACGATTAAATGGCTAACCTATAGCATCCCTACTCTAACCTTTAAAAGTTAAAAAGGTGCCTAAGCAAAACACAATGTTTATTACATATTTATGACTTAAACACAGAGACACAGAGTGCAGAGCTGCACATCAAATTAATCTTCAAGGTCCCATCTTTCAGATGATGTATACTACTCCTATGTGACATATACTGTTGAACTGCTATCCTCCACTAAAGATCCCCTGACCCCCCTAAAAAAGACAAAAATGGGTCTATGGTAGAGAGGTGTGGGAGTGAAAGAAGTTAAATCAGAGTCAGACAGTTTGCTGTCTCCCCTCATCTGTTATGTTTAAATCTAGAGAAAGCATCACAGGCCACCTAGGTTATGCTGAGAGACTGACTACATTGAAGGGACTAGGAATCAAGGAACATGAGGTGACTTACTTCTGGATCTCCTCGGCAGTAAGCTGGTCATCTCTCTGTTCTCCTGTCACCATGGCCAGCTCTTCCTTCAGAGACTGGATCTCTCTCTTCAAACGGGTAATTAGCTGAAACACACACACAGAAGACAGGGTTAGAGGTCTGCTGCATGTGCACATACAGTACACACAATGTAAAACTGTGCACATTTGAAACCTACAGTTCAAAGCTAAGACACACACTCATGCACAAGCACCGCAGACAAGCTATTTCGCTGCTGCCAACTGATGAGGCAATCCTTCTGAAAATGATCTTGCGGCTTATCTTGCCGATGCATTTTGAGGACAAACTTAAGTGATTCCAGACAACTGGATGCTCCAGCGGGAAAATACAGGAAGCAAAAACATAAATTAGCATTAAACAGCTATGGTGGCAAAAAAAAGTACACATAAAACCTTCTACTGCTGTCTGTCCACACGTGTTTGGTTAAGGCCTTGCACACTGAGCCAACGGGGTGGTTGCTGTTAGTAACCGCTGTCCGTGTCTGGTTACTGTATATATAAAAGCAAAATATCTCACCAAGTCCAGACATAGCTTTTTAAATAAGTACTTATAGAAATCTTTGAAAAAAGACAAAACAAAAATAAAAAACAGTGACAGCAAAAATATCTATTAATGTCAAAAATCATAATCCGATGAGAGATGATGTGACGGGACCAGGACATTCTTTTTATGTTTTCACATCTGAGTATATGACAAAAATCTATTTAAGGCATGAAAGGAGAATCCAACAAAAACAAATGTGATCAGGTCCTGGCCTTGACATATGACACTTTATGACTTTTTCCCTGCAGAAAGGGTCCATACCTATAGAGGTCAGTCTAAGTGACCTTATTTCAGTCTAGGCAGGGATTAGCAGGCATCTTGCTATCTAGCACCTAAAGGATTAGTGAAGTCAGGACATAAATTAAGTTGTATTACATGTGTAGGAGTAGCCATACAGAATTTAATCTGACAACAGCGGCTCCTCTGATGGGACAGAACCATTTCATATCAGTATACTGGCTTTTCTGCAGGGGTGGGTAGTAACAAGTTGCAAGTAACACACATGGAGAAGCATGTTTTCTTTCATGATTACAGTATGTGTCCATGAAGCCACATTCTCACTTGTATGTGTTTAGTCTCTTTTTCATCTGAGTTATATGTGCAAACAGAAATTCTTCTTTAAATAAGAGCGTCAACTTTTCAAAATCTTATTTAAGTGATATACTTCTGTGATAACAGGTTCAGGTCATTATTTTCTGGCTGCATCGCTCTTGTCAATAACCTCACTGGACACCATAAGCTTCTGTTGGCATTCAAATAAACATATCGATCAGTTGTACAACTTGATACTGGAGTGTCTCAGAGCTCTAGTTTGTGCAGCCAAACTTGAACCAAAAAAAGAAGCAATATAATGATCCAGTCTGATAAAAGCATGCCCTGCACAGTGATTAACACTAAGCAAATTAATCCCTGTGAAACTGACGTGTCTAGCTCAGCTATTAAGCAAGATTTCTACTCATGTTCAAAACAATCTGAACATTTAAAACATGTCTCAGATATATGTGTTCTCTGAACAGGCGAGAAAAAAGTTATAATATCCGATGAAAAAACATTTTGAAAATAAACCTGTAATGCAATGAGAATAAAGTCATAATGGTTCAAGAAAGAAAATCTACCTGCCCTATAGCGCAATGTGCATGACATTATTACTCTGCTAACATAGTAGTATCCCCTTCAGACCATCCAACAAACACAGATGCCTGTTTGGGACTCTCTCTGGAGGAAGCAGGAGGAAGAGGAGCAGTGAGCTGCTCATCATCAGAGGTGGAATACCAAAAGGAATTGACACTTTTGATCAGGTTTAATATGTGATGATCCTGTTTTGAAAAATGAAATCTACTATCCCTCTCTGAATCAATTCGAGACATAGTTTGTCCTGTATTTTCTTGCACAGAATTGTTAGAGTGAGGATAATGCAAATGATAATGCAAACCTACTCCCTTGCATAATAGTACATTATTTAGAATTTTAACAGACAACAACATAACAACATAATTTTACCACATTTTTTGGAAGGAGACCAAGGTTGCATTCAGTTGTTGTTGCACCCAAAAGCTGCCACAGACACAGAGGGGTGGTTGATGATGGCGAATGTATTTGGAAGAATTGGTGGGGTAATGTAGGAGGCCGGTGTTGGCAGGGGCAGGCTGGCGTGAGTGGGAACAGTTGAGCTGAAACATTGTAAGAGAGGAACATCCCTCTCCTGGTCTGAACATGAAAACAATGTTGTATTTTGTAATGTGGAACACCTGACATTTGGCTTTAATGATATATTGAATTAAACAAGATGGTGACCTAGAAATACAGGTTATGTGCAGCTGCATGACGGCTATCACTGTGCCCAAAAAGTAAAAAAGTAATAATTTATTATTTGAATTTGTTCAATAGGGTTCTGATTGAGTCACGAATGGACATTCTTGCTGTCGCTGTATGGTTACACTCTAATTTATTAAGACCTCTGGCTATTGTAAAAGCAAAATGGCTACAGGGAGTTATAGTCTGAAGAAAAGTTATTTTTCACCATTGAGGAGTGACAATGTGCTTGCCTAGCAGGTTACGTAAATACAACAGACTGCACTTAATGAACAATCTGCTTCACTCACACCTTCATAGAAGTAGAACAATTTTAATTGAAATAATTGTTTGAATATTACTGCAAAGTAATGCTATGTGGTAAATGTGGGGACTGAGTGTAAGGGGGTGAAGCGTGCGAGGAACGACTCTACTGCAGATGCCAAGTTGCCAGCTGCCTGGAAGAAAAAGAAGCACCACCTGGGTTTGGACCACGATGATGATGGAACAGAACAAGAGTTAGCTTCAGGTGACAATCCCAGGCCACATCTGGTCACTTTCTACACCAAAATCTAAAAAAGACAGCAGTATTAAAGTGCTTGCTTTGCTTCCTGAAAAACACTGAGATGTCTTCTTTTAAATACTCCCCTTCTAACCTCTGCAAGCACACTGAAGTAAGTTCTGCATACTGTGGGTTAAAATGTTGTTAGCTAGCTAACGTTAGCTATGTTCATTTTTTATGTGCAACACCAATCTTTGACGTTATGATAATGACAATGACTTGTCTTGTAGCGAGTGGTCCATTGGTCTTTTAAATTGGTGTGCTTTGGAAAGAGGAAGAGATGGCAAGATAGTGGGAGACTGTTTATATCTCAGTTGTGTCGGATTTCCTTTTGTTTGATTAGCCTACCTGCTCATCAAAACAAGTGCTGTGTTTTCATTATTTTGCACTGGACTGCGCACCCTAAAAAAACAGGAAAATAATTTGTGCTTTAGACTTGAGAGGCAGGGTACACCCTGGAGGGGCTGCAAGACTATCACAGGGCTGACACAGAGTTAAACAAATATCCACGCTCACATTTACACCTACGGGCTATTAAGAGTCACCAGTTATCCTGACCTTCATGTCTTTGGACTGTGGGAGGAAGCTGGAGAATCATCAGAAACCCCATGCTGACACAGGGAAAACATGCAAACTCCACACAAAGGGCCCCAGCCGACTGGCAGGTTCAAACTCAGAAGTGCAGTGCTAACCACTGCCCCAGCATGACACCCCAAAGTAAAAGCTATTTATCTGAATATTTGATGAATTGTACAAATGTATCTCTTGCTGAAGTCAAAGCCATTACTTCTACACCTCTGAAGCCAAACACTCAGTTCTCCACATTACTAACTGCGCTTTTCATGTTTAATTCTTTGTTGTTCATATAGCAGACCTGTTAAGTGGGATTAAATCCTAAATCTCCCATCACACACAGAGAGCAAGAGGTTAGAGGCGAGCCCACTTGACATGTACCCTTATTCTGATGCTCAGCAGGTACTGGCAGCGTGTCGTAACTTGAAGTTAAAGTGTTATGATTGAATGTGAAAGAGGTCACGTACATAACAGACGGACCATAGAGACTGATTAGCCTGATAAAACCTACAGCTTGATTTTTCTGCAGCTAATTGTACAAGATTTCAACTGGCTGTTTATTCAATTTTCAAATCCCTAAAAAAAGGGGAGTCGGTCCAGTCTACATTACATCTAAACAGAGACATGTAAATACATGTTAATGGTAGGGAAAGTAGGCCAGCACCAAAATCAATGGATGGTGTAGTTATTGGAAGGAAGCCAGACCAGTTGTAATAAGAATTCTGCACAAATCGCACCACAAAACAACACACCAAACCACATAAAAAAACAAGTGGCAATTGTTCTTTTTCTCACATGACATACTTCTTTCTTCAGCATAAATCCCACTTAACTATCACCACTGAATCTGACCACACCACAAAATACTAAAGCAGACTGAAAGGCTGGAACGGTCTCAGCAGCAAAGAGCAAATACAACAGACAGTGGCGACTGTGTGCCAGAGTCACAGTGACTCTCCTGACACAAAACTGCAAGGGAGCTAGGATGTTCAATAAAAACTAAATCAAGGTCAAAGGTCAGTAATTTAGCAGAGCACCAGCACTTCTAGCAAACGCATTTTCTAACTGGAAGGTCAAAAGCAGTCATACAGTGTCAAATCAAGACACTCTTGAGAAGAAACAGACCTGCGGTGTGGTTTTGGGCAGGTGCCACTGAGCTAAACAAAAAATTTCACCCCAAATCCACCCCATATCATATTTTTTAACATCACAGCTGACCATCCCTCACCAGAGCCGCTCCCTGTATCTCTTTTTTGGAGCCCATGGTCTGATGTAATTCTCCCAGCTGCATCCTGAGGAACTGACCGCCAGTTGTTGGTCAGCGGAATCGTGCAGTCTATTTCAGAGTGCCGAGCCCACACTGGTACCACAACACCACGGCAGGCTTCCATACACTTTGAATAAAAACTGACTAAGGCCACGTGACTGGTGATGGCAGCATATCCTATGGAAACCCGAGTCAGTGCAGTAATGCAACGTGCAGGTTGTTATGGTGATGGAAAAAGCAACCCTCCAAGTATGTCTGTGTTATTTTATATGAGCTGACAAACATGCTACATAATTAAGTTTGAAACATTAAACTGACTTGTACAGACA